GCCTTGCCAGCCTGGCGCCAACAAGGCCCTGCAGCTTTCTGTTTGACAGAAGGTGGCTGGAAGGTGACAAGGAGTCCTGGGCCCCTTCGTGGGCTGGGGCTACCGCTGTGCTTTGGGCAGTTTCTTGAAGCACTGTGGCAGATGGCCGGGAGCCTCACTCTCCTTTCTCACTGGTTGTCTCTCTCCCTTAGCTTGTAGCAATAATCTCCGAGGCCTCCAGCTCAGGTATCTCTCTCCAAGCAGACAGACGGGTGAAAAACCAGAAGCGCCGGGTCCACATGACGCTGGAGCTGCCCTGGAGCGCAGACCGAGCCATACAGCAGTTCGGTGAGGGCTGGGGTCTTGATCGCTGTCCCCTTCCCCCAGCGTGGTGCAGCCCGGGGAAGGAGAGGCGTGCGTGGCCAGTGAGCCAGGCTGGTGCTGCAGCTGGGGCAGGCGTATTCTGCCCGCTGAGGTACAAGGTGCTCCTGTCTTTTGCCGGGATGGAAACCCAGCCACAAAGCAGTTGTGACTGATTTGTCTGGCCGGGAAGGTTTGTGTGGCCTTCAGGAGGGGGGGAAGGGGGAGCCCTCCCGTGCCTTTTAGCAGCGTCTCCGCATGAAACAGGGGGTGCCTGGGGGTTTCTGTTCCACCCTGCGAGGCTCTGTAGGATGGGGGGGCCCAGGTCCTCAGTATGTGAGCACCAAAAAAACAACGCACATCCTAGCTCAAGCCGGGGAGTCACTCCTCAGCCCAGGGGTCGAGGCTGTAAACTCAGCTCTGCCCCGGCAGCACCGGGGTGGTGAGTGCGCCCGTGCCTCTGTCCCTTTCCCCCAGGAAGATCTCTCCTTTGAAAGCCAGCCATGACATGGAAAGTTGTTTTGGTGCTCTCACCTCGTGCTCAGCTTCCCTTCCCGCAGCAGACAGGCTGTTCCAAGCTCTCCTTTCACCTCTGCTGTGTCCCCGCAGGTCGAACGCACCGATCGAACCAGGTTTCTGCGCCAGAGTATGTCTTCCTTATCTCTGAGCTGGCAGGGGAGAGGAGGTTTGCATCCATCGTGGCAAAACGCCTGGAGAGCCTTGTAAGTGCCCTGCAGCAGAGAGGTTAACGTGTCGGTTCCAGTTCTCGCTGAAGAGCTTCCGTTTCGGCGTTCCCGCTCGCGTGGCCGGTGTAACTAGGACGGGGGATTGCATCACCCCCGGCTGAAGGCGTCGCAGTTGTGGACGCAGAAGGCTTTTAGCATCCTGAGATTTGGGAAAGGAAGTGAAGAATACGTAACAAGGCATCAGGAGGAATTTCAGGGAAGCAGAACCCAGTTCCAGATGCTGGAATTCCCCCGCTGTTACTGGAGTATACACCCATCTGTTTCCAGAAAGCTGATGAAATAATTAATGGAATAATTAACTTGCCTCTATTTCATATTTCTTCACTTCTGATAAATTCCCAAATACTTCTGCGAAGTCTCCATACTCCAGGGGAGCACTGCCTCCCCACAGCTCGTTCTTATCCCGCCCTCTTCCGAGAGGTGGCTTTGGCCATGCTTCTCTGGTGCGTTGCAACAGCTGAAAGTGGGAACTGTTTTGTTTCATCTGTCTTCCTAGGGTGCCTTAACTCACGGAGACCGCCGGGCCACTGAGTCCCGAGACCTCAGCAAGTACAACTTTGAGAACAAGGTAACTTCTGGCTGTTCGTAGGCTAGCTCAGCCAAGGAGGGCTTGAAGTAGGTAGTTGGCAAGTGCCTTTGGTGGGAGCCGGAGCCAGGAAGATCATTGCTGGCATCTGCAGGCAGGATCTGGCCTAGCAGCATCAGCACCGTGCTGCTGGCCCGTGGCCCTGGGCTGGTATCGGTACAGAACTGAGCTAATGTCAGCGCCGTGGATCAGAGCACCACGCTGGCGTGGGCCTTGTGCTCCCACGGGGAGCCGGGAAGGGTGCTGGAGCCTCTGCGCCCCAGGGAGCCGGTGCTGGGTGCGGATGTGCGGGTTCCTGAGCCCTGCTCCCCCGGGGACAGAGCAGGGCCCTGCCACACGGCTTCCCCCTGGGCACCACCACGCTGGCGTGGGCCTTGTGCTCCCACGGGGAGCCGGGAAGGGTGCTGGAGCCTCTGCGCCCCAGGGAGCCGGTGCTGGGTGCGGACGTGCGGGTTCCTGAGCCCTGCTCCCCCGGGGACAGAGCAGGGCCCTGACACGCGGCTTCCCCCTGGGCACAGCCGCCAGGTCGGTGGCCTTCCTGGAAGCGGTGGCTTTCTCTGCAGTGCCAGGCAGCGAGTTGTGACACACCGAGTCCACTGCTGGGCTGCCAGCGTCGGTTCGTCCGTGCCTGACTCTCGTCTCCTTTCGCAGTACGGGGCTAAAGCACTGGACAGGGTCCTCTCCACTATCCTCAGCAACACGGAGAGCAGAGTTCCCGTGCCCAAGAGCTACGACGGAGGGGAGGCTGCGTTTTTCCATGGTAAGAGCGTGACCAGTTCTGGGGTTTCGTGCTGGCTGGGTGGGTCTCGGGTCTGGGATGCCTGAAGAGCTGAGCAGAAGAGGGGAGAGGGGGAACAGTGCACCGGGCTGAGCAGCTCGCTGGAGAGTGGGGCGACTGGCCGCCCAGGTGCACGTCGCCCTGCCAGGGGGAAAACAGGCCTGGGACAGGCTTAGCTGTGGAACTGCGGGCACAGCTGGAGGGGAAAGCTGGGGGAGGCTTAGCCCGAAAATCCACGAGCCGTTTTCTGCCGTTCCAGAAATGAAGCAAGGTCTCATCTCTGTGGGGATCTGCTGCAATCAGATGAAGTATGGCACAGTGGCAGTGGAGAAAGGTGCGTCTCAAACTTGTCCTGCCCAACACAGGGGAGAACTGAAAGAGGCGGGGGGGGCAGAGC